ACTCAACAAGTTAGTGCCCTGACTCATCGATTAGGAACTTTTGGGGCCACGTGTTTTAAATGACCAACTCGGCGACTCGGAAACATGACTCGATGAGTTGGAGCTAGATGATGAAACCCTAATTTCTGGGGTTTTGCACCTAATTTAAACATTCATTAACCTCCCTTAGCCTCCCTTACAGCTCCTTGTGAATCCAGAAACCCTACATCGCCTTTTTTCCTTCTCTTTGTCTTATCTTAAGTTTTATGGTGGATTGTAGAAGGAAGATCTTGAAGTAATCAAGCTTGGAACAAGAAGAAGGTTGTAGATCTGAGTTCTTCTTCATCTTAGCATCATTTTTTAGGTAACAATCCGTTACCTTGACCTTCATCTATCAAGATCTATGCATGTATGAGATTAGGGTCACTTTTGCAATGTTAACATGTCATTGTGGGTATTAGCCATGATCTGAATTTTCAACTTCAGATCTAGGTTTATCTTGGCCTTTAAGATCATAAAGTTCCAGATTTTAGTGAAGTAATACCCTCTTCATCCCTTATAACCTTTCTTTAGCTTGATTTGGGCCATTATCACCTTTCACGTACGTAAAGTCTGCAACTTTACATAAGAAGTATGTTGTAGGAGCTCAGATCTGCATTATGGAGCTTTAGAGTGGCTTAAAATCGTCTGGATAGGGAAAGGAATGAAGGGACTCGACGAGTTGCAAGGACAACTCGGCGAGTCCAATGAAGATTGTCGTGTAAGGACTTATGCATGGACTCAGTGAGTCGGTAGGGTGACTCAGCTAGGGTTTCCCTGACATTTGGACATGCATGAACTCGGCAAGTTTTAGGGAAACTCGACAAGTCAACTGGGGATTTCACGACTTCTCGAGTTCAGGAAGGACTCGACAAGTCAATGAACTGCACTCGACGAGTCGGGTCAACATGGACTGTTGACCTTCACCATTGACTTGGACTTTGACCAAGGGTTGACTAGTTGACTTGTGGGTAGTATAGTAAACCGGAAACTTATTGAAAAGTTCTTGTGGTAAATATAGGTGGTGGAGTCCGTGGTTGTGATTTGAGAGTTCGAGCTTATCTTTTCAGTCGACATTTGCGAGGTAAGTTTTCCTCACAATACTCAAGGGTCGAAGGCACCAAGGCCGCCCCTTTTGGATTGTTATCCTGATATGCTATGCTAGTATGATCTGTTATATTCGTATCCTAGTAGATAGGATAGTATTACGTTATTATGTGGCTATGATCCGTTAGACCAGTTTGTTTGTCTATAGACTGTTATGCGATTATCTGTTATATGTGCACATGTTTGATTGGCGTTTGAGGCTTGTCTGCTTTGTGTGAAAGCCAATAGACCTCGGCATTCCAACCTGTTGCTTGTGGGCCGTGAGTATTCCCTCCCGAGGATGATTGTACTCATAGTATGTGGGCATTCAAACCTGTTGGTTGTCGGCCTAGGGTATTCCATCCCAAGGATGATTGGACCCATAGTATGTTGGCATTCCAACCCACTGGTTGAGGGCATGGGGTATTCCAACCCGATGGTTGACTGGACCCATACTATGTTGTTTATGATTGTATGTGTGTTGTTGTGTGTATGGGTATTATAGAGGAACTCACTAAGCTTTGGGCTTAAAGTTTCAATTTTGTTTCAAGTACATCAGATGATCGCGGGAAAGCAAAGGTGTGATCATACAACTCCTCATATTTGTGTTTAGGTTTCTAGGAAACTTTGATATTATACTATTTTGAAAACAAACTTTGTAATGCTTAATGGTTTGAAATGTTTTGAAAAAGTTAAATTTGGCATGATTTTTATGGGCGTTACACCCACTTCCATTTTAATTTGAGCATATCTTTTAGGCTGAAAATATAATTCAAACATAATTAAGTACCTTTTGTTCAATAATTGAGAAAAAATAGCCAAAAAGTAATAAGATATTAGATAAAATATATGACTAAATATGCACATATCAATCCTCTCATCTGACACCTATTGAAGAACCGGAGATGGAGATCTTGGTTTCTTAGCAGGATTCCTTGTCTTCTTAGGAACTTTGATAATTTTCGACGGAGCAGCCTTGGCTTTTCTTTTAACTCCCCTCTTCAGTTTTGTGCTCTAATCAATCAGCTATCTAAGATCAGCTGGTGTTAGGCGTGTCAAACCCAACAAATAAAGGGGTATGATATACTCCAAATCCCACTATTTAGCACTAACAGGTAGTACAAGGCAGGTAGGGTCGATCCACAGAGACACGGAACAATTGGTCTAATACCTCTTTCCTAAGGTACTTGTTCACAAAAGGTTAAAGAGGGGGGATTAGAATGCAATTATTAAACAAACAAATTAAAAACACAAGTAGTCGGCTAAATGAGTGAATTAAATTAAGATTTTGTAAGGACTTCAACTTCATTAATGACAGCTTAGCAATGTAACTCAAAGATGACACAATATTCGTTCAGTTCTATCTAAGTTGGTACTTGAAAGTGTTAATAAGCTCTAACACTTTCCATTCACCACATTAATTAACCAAAACAAGCTCTTTAATTAACTCTAACCTTACTAACCTAATTTAAACAAGCTCTTAGAATTAGATTAAAAGATTGCATGAAGCTTTATGTGAAAGTGTGTGAATAGGATTTACAGTAAATATATTCAATAGAGATCAATTTAATGCTTGTTACTTGTTAAATTTCACAAAACAATTACGGATTTTGTAAAAGAGATAACTTGAATGACCTAACCCTAATTCAAATGGCCAATAAAAATTACAATTAGAATCAAACATTCGATTAAAGCAAAATCAAATTCACTAGATAGAAATTAAGAACATACATCATGTCATATGATTGAAGTCACTACCAAGAAGTCAAAACATGAAATTAGAGAAACTAGGGTTCTAGCCACACATGTCTAGAACAAGATCACAAGAATAAAAGATGGAATTAAAGTGCAATTACAACTTACAAATACTAGAAATAATGTTTCCAAATGATTACTGATCAAACCCTTGCAAAAACCTTCGAAATTCCCTCTCAAAATGTGTTATGATATGTTGTGTGTCTGTAAAAATGGCGCTTAACCCGTAATATGAAAGATAGGAAAAACTGGCAAAAGTTGGTTTCTGGGTCGAGCACAGCCAGTGTTGGATATAAGGTAAAAATGACACGGTCCGTGTCCAGCATGGTCATCAGCTTCTTCTTTTCTAGTCAACACGGCCCATGTTCCTTCGCACTGTAAATCCAACACGGCCCGTGTACCTCTCTGACTCCAATTCCAAACATGATTTTTCCAACTTTTTCGTTCTTCACCTGATCATCCCGGAATCTTCACCAATGCTTCCTGGCACCTCCCAAAGCGCGTTCCAACCTCCGATTTACCTGAAAAAGACATGAAAATGCGCAAATAAGGTTGTTCTAGAGACTAACATGAAATATGATGAAATGCAAGACAAATAAAGGACAATTATGCTAAATAGATGCATAAGAAGGGACTAAAATATGTGCAAAATGATGCACAAAATGCACCTAACAAATCTCCCCAAGCTTAGACCTTTCTTGTCCCCAAGAAAGAACAAGAATGTGACAAAAAAGTACGATTTCTAGATGACAAAAAGAAACATAGAGAAAAAAGGGATAGAAAGATCCTAAAGGCTAAGAATGAATGCATGCAATGAAAACCATGAAAAAGAAAAACAAAATATGTACAAAAGCACTAAAGAAGCAAATTGTACCAAAAAGAATTTTAAGACAAAAGTAAATCATCTATATAAGTACGATCATGCTTTATATCAATGTGGCTCTAATCATTAATACCTAGGCAACCATCTTGCTTCCTTCCACATATCACAAACTCCCAATGTGAGGAAGACCCGAAACGATGTAACCCAATAACCCAACCATAGTGTTATTTAAACTTCATACCTTAATTAGCTTTATAGGTGAAAATAACATAGTCTGGATCTCATGTCCTTAAGACTAGATGGTTAAGAATCAGAATCGACACATCCTTAAGAACTTGTCACGGCGAATCAGCTTTCACTAAAACAGGGAGCCCACTCGAAGGGCCCAGCTCCTATGCTTTCACTTTTACGAGAGCCACAAGTATCATATCACACAGTTCTTTATTCGCCAAATTTGACTTTGAGGCAGGTTTGATTTTTGATTGACTTGGATTTGTATCTTCATTTTGAGCTTGAATTCCTCAACCAACTTTTGAATTTCTTATAATTTCTTCATTTTGGCACTTAAAATTCTGACTTGGGTACTGGATATGACAGCTATACCCTTCCTTATTTCTTGACTGTGTGGATCTGATACTTAAGCTCTCTGTTACTGCGAGGATAACGCGTGTCAACAAATAGGTCTGCGTTCTGTGGGTCCAGAGTTGTCGATAAAAAAAATTTTTAAACATTCAGAAGCAAATCATCCTAAAGCTGTTATTACCGCCCATAAAATGTTTCAGTATCCCATTTTTTATTATCTAAGTTGGGGTCTCGAGTTATGGTTATTGGGTCTCCTAGTTATGATAGTTGATTCTACACTTCCTATAACTATCCGGTCACCTCAGTATTTTTTTTTTCATTTGAGTTCTTGAATTCCCACTTCATGGACCTATTGTATGTAAAGAATGTCATCATCTCGTACTCTTTTTTTAAGGCATGTGTGAATATGAAATATGAAGATGTAGATGCATGAAACTGATGGAATGTAAAACCTTTTTTTTTTTTTTTTGAAAATATGCATGAATATGAAAAATGAAAAGGATGCATAAATATGAAAAATGAAAAGGCATCTAATGTACAGCTCTACCCCCTCCCCAAGCTTAAAGGTACGCATCATCCCCGGTGCTTGGAGAGGGCGAAACAACCTATTGTGGAGGAGGAGGAGGATAAAGGTAATAATTGGAGTTTCAGGTCCAAGCCCAAAAGTCCTCCTCATGTTTACGCTGGCGCTCTTGATCCCGAGCGTATTGAGTGGTGAAAGAAGAAAAACTTTGAGTCAGGCTCGCGAGATCTTGATTGTAAGTGTCGAGGCAGATATGGATCTATTGATATTGATCCATATATTGCTGGTGATACGTTGGGTATCCAGCTTGATGGGATAAGCTAGCACCACCCATGGGAGGAGAACTTTGTGGTGTGGCACTGCCACTCTCATCACTTTCTCCATCTTCCTCTTCTTCCTCTTCAGAGAAGGAGTAGGGGAAGAGATATGGTGTGATTTGCTAATCGGTGAAGTTGTTAGGTTGCCTGAGGGCAAGGATGTCCTAATTCTCAGGGGTAATGAGGAGCCTTGGATCATGGTTTTGACCCACGGTCTAATTATGGTTCCCTTCCTCAACCCCGAAACATTCTCATAGACTCAAGGACTCCCATCGTAAGGTAGGTCTCACCGGGCAGAGGTTGGTGAATTCCAGGATATGGGGCCCGGACTGGAGCACTTTTGGCAAATAAACTGACAATGCCACTACAAGATATTTTGTCCAACCGTGATATGCTGAGGCAGGTGAGTTTGTTACACAGGAATGATCCATAGTGAGGAATGAGATTATCATCCCGGTAGGCCATAGCATAGAGTATCTTGAGCTCAAGGGCACTAATGGTGCTTCGCTCATCTCTAGGGGAGACGAGCGAGGCAAGAATCTGATGGGCCACTTTCACTACAGGATGGATGATAGATGAGTCCTTACCAGAACTTGAGACATACGGGTGTAGATAAGTAAGGTCGGTCCACCACGTAAGATCCCTGTATCCGTGAATCGAGTCGTTAGGGCCAAAAGTGTTTTCTATTGGGGCCCCAACGATGGCATTGATTTGCTCTAGGGATAGGTCATGATCTTGGTTCATTATTCGGAAATTTAGGAAACCATGGTCCAAATAGACTGAAGGCAAAAACTCGGTTGTTGCAACTTTATAGCTGAGCTTATGGACCCTTAACAACCCTTGCCATCAAATGTTCGAGAACAAGGTGTGGACTTGGTTGTACATGTGCAACTTGTAGATAGATGGCACATGCGCAAATTGTTGGGTAGTATGCACGCGTTGGAGAAAGGCCTCAAGTTTGACAGCTTGATTAGGGCCAAGACAAACCACACCACCATGGGCCAGATTGGGTGGGGATAGAGGTGGGTTGACAGGGAACTAGATCGTGGTGATGGGTTTCTACGAAAACGATGTGGCATTCCCATTCTCACGGCCAGAAAAGACCGATTTTGTTTATGGTTTATAAAAATCAGGGTACTTCTTTTAATAAAAATGTTGCGGAATTTGTTCCCAAAAAAACATGATAAATATGTTATCAAAGCATTTCCAAAGAAATGTATTTTTATTCCTTTTAAAACCTTAGGATTTCATCGTCAATACATTAAAATAAGCATAAACAGAATTTACATTTATTTACACTAGTGATCTACATCTCTTTTAAATCTCTCAGTGCAAAGTAGCTTTGTATCGACACATGTGATACAAATAAGCTGGAGTGGGTCAGGTTGGGAAACCTGGTGAGTACATAGGGATTTTAATCCCACAATTTTATATCATATAAATAATTTAGAACACACAAAATGTACAATTTCCCCATATATATAATCGTCTCTTGCCCCACCCCGTTGATCCTTACAATGAGACTATCCATACTCTTGGATCATAAACTTTACCTCTTACTTAACCCATACTCTGGGATCTAGTTCATGCTCTCAGATTAATAATTGTGCCTATTCCATACTCTTGGATTAGGAACAAGTGTCTATGTGTAAATCCATACTCTCGAATTAATGATGAATAACTATGTCATGTCCATACTCTAGGACTAAGGAAGAGTTACTATGTCTTAATCCATACTCCCAGACTAATGACATTTGACTATGTCCAGTCCATACTCTCAGACTAGGGACAATGACTATGTCTAATCCATGCTCCTGGATCAATGACATATATTAATGTTCTATTCTCGGAGTATAACTCACTCATACTCGTAAGAAGATACTACCCAATATTCCTCATAATTAATTTAGGTTTACTCTTTATCCCAAATTATTATATATAATCAGGTATGTTCTTTAACACGTATTTCAGGCGACATCAAATAACTCGCACATAAACATATATTTAATACTTCAATCAATACTTGTATTAAAATCATGTTCATGAAAGGGACTATGCACTCACCTGGTAAGGTGGTGACTCGGCACTCGGACAGCACTTCGTTACTCTTAAAACAATTTCCTCAACAAAACCTAGTATCAATATCACTAGGGTTTAGTCTGACGTTAACTACGACTAATTAATAGTCTAACTATTATTATTATTATATAAGCGTTAACACAATACTGTTAACCCACTATATACAGACGAGGCCAGACATGGAATACCGGAGGGCAGGATCATTTCAGCATAAAAGCACTTCTGAATCCAGCAACCCAAGCGGCCCTCCAAACAGGAACCCATGTACCACGAGTAGTTAAAAATACATTATAACGACACTTATATAACTCATAATAATAGTCTAAATACTTATTATAAGTTTGTAATAACTTTACTATATTGAAACATAAGTTATACTAAAGATAGGGTAGGTATAGCTCACTTACAGCGGATTTCCTTGGAAACCAGGCTCCACCGGAGCAGATTTTCTGAGCCGGAGGCTCTTCTCTTCGGAGTCATCAGGTGCTCCGGGAGCCTCGGGGCTTCCTTCGGGTGCTAGGGGGTTTACCTAGACTTTTGGGGGCTTAAGGGAGGCTAGAAAGAGAAAGTGAAGTTGGATGGTTTGTAGAATCAAGGGAACCCAGCACCTCTATTTATAGGGGGTCTGGCAGCTCAACTCGTCAAGTTGGCCTCTACCTCGTCGAGTTCATGGCCAGATTTCAGCATTCTGGTGGTGACACGTGACTGGCTCACATTTCACCACGTCACCCCTTTTGCAGCAGCACCCTGCTGACTTCTAAACCCCGTAACTTTCGCATAAGAGCTCCGTTTTCGATGTTCTTCTTTTCCACACGTAAATAAAACCAAAATCTACAACTTTCATTTAGACTCCATCGGCTAATTCTTAACCAATCTTAAATTGAACAGTAGAAGGAGATTAGGTTGTTAAATAACCACGAAGAATTCGTAACTACGTCATACTGACTCCGTTTTCATCTGTCTTTTTACCATTGAGTTCCTATTAATGAGATCTTCAACTCCCACTTAGGCCACTTAGGCCAAACCACTCGAACTAAAATTCGAGTTGCGGGTCGTGTTGTGCTAAGCCAAATCTTGGAAAATTCATAACTTCCTCATACGAAGTCAGATTTGGGCGTTCCTTTTTTGTATGTTCTCGGTTTAACTTATACTACAACTTTTGTTTAGATTACTAAGGCCAAAAAGTCTTATATCGTATATTCACTATTTACGCTTCCCGGTGTTGTGCCGGTTTTGCCGCGAAACTTCGACGAGCCATAACTTCTTCGTTTTCACTTGGATTTCGGCGTTCTTTATATGTACGGTAACCTTGAGACTTATTCTACAGCTTGGTTAAGATTATTTATTCTAAATAATCTTTTGCCAAAAACTTGGTTTCGACACTTATTGCCTCTAAATTGACTAGCCTGGATCTACGGGCGTTAATGACAAGTCGAGGCCTTAGTATGCCTCGGTCGTTTAGAACGTTCACCTTCCATATGAAAAAAATAGGGCAAAGATTAAAAGTCAACCGGTCAACGGGTCAAAAAGTCAATTGTTGATGGGTCCGGTCAACTGATGTTTTGCCACCAAAAATTCGTGGGAAACTCAGTTTTGAATGATTTCCAAGTTATTGCCAAGTCCAAAATGACCAATAATACATGCAATTTGACCTTAAGAACACAAATTCCACAAGTGAAGAATAGGAAAGAATGTACCAAATTGTTAATAGAAATGTGCTATTGTTGCTGAGAAAGACCGTCTTCAACCTCCCCAAGCTTGCCTACATGAAGAATTAAGCAGGAAAACACCAAAATTCTAAGAAATTTTCGGACCTAGGGTTTGTCAAATCCCCAAATCCAGCATGAAAATGCAATAAGATGGTTTATTAGATGTAGGAGATGAAGTCGGGAAGATGAAAATCAAACCTTTTTGAAGATTTAAGCCAAAATCATGAAGAATCAAGGTTTTTTTTGATGAAAATCGGTCTTTGGGGTTGTCTTGGGGGGAAGGGACTGTTTTGTAATAAGTTTGTGGAAGAATAGGGAAAAAACCTGATTTTTAGCATTAAAAACCACCAGGTCTGATGTGCGAACACGGTCCGTGTTGGGCATAAGGGAAAATTTACCTGCCTGTGTTGGGTCTAAAATATGTGAGATTTGGCTAAACACAGCCCGTGTTGGTCATAAGGGAGAAATGACACGGGCTGTGTACCCCTCTGAGTGCTGAAGTGCTTGCCATTGATGAACACGACCCATATTCATTATAAGGCAAGAGGAACGCGAGCCGTGTACACCTCTGATTGCCACTTCCACTTTTTTGAACCCAAAATTTCCCTCTCATTCAAATGAAATGTTTTTTTTGCATCCCGAGGTCCGTTTGGTGATTTTAAATCATGTTTAAATGCATTTGGAACATTGAAAACCCAAAAACTCAAAGAAATGGAAATTGTCTTTTTTAAGGAAAAGACAAAGATACCCCCGGGTTGCCTCCCGGTTAGCCGCCCTTGTTTTAAGTCGTTGGCTCGACGTTGCCACCGAACATGCTTCAGTCTTGGTAAGTGGGGTTCTCAACAAATTCTATCTCCTCATTCTTCACGTCGAATCCTTCGTAAAATGGCTTCAATCTATGATCATTGACTTTGAATGTTTTTCTAGTTTGTTGGCTTGTTATTTCCACCGCACCATGGTCGAATGTCTTTGTGACTACAAAAGGAACAACCCATCTTGATCTTAATTTCCCAGAAATTAACTTGAACCTCGAGTGATTAAGAAACACTTTTTTGTCCTTGTGCAAAAGTCTTTCGGGAGATCATTTTTTCATGATACGCCTTTGTCTTTTATTTGTAGATCATGTTACTTTCATACGCATCATTTCGGATCTCCTTTAGCTCTTGGATGTCTAGCTTCCTTTTGTGTCCCGCCTTATCTTCATTCAAGTTGAATTGCTTTATAGCCCAAAAAGCTTTGTGCTCAAGCTCAACCGGGAGTAGACATGCTTTTCCAAACAGTAGCCTATATGGGGAAATACCAATGGGAGTTTTGAAAGCGGTACATTATGCCAATAAGGCATCATCCAGCCTTATGCTCTAGTATTTGCGGTTTGGATTGACTATTTTTTCCAAGATGCTTTTGATTTTCTGGTTTAGACCTCTGCTTGCCCATTGATATGTGGTTGAGACTTTATGAGTCACCCCATACTTCTTCAGGACATTTTAACATCTAGAAATAAATGTTATGACTTGAACCCCTTTAAATTAAAGTTATTGCATTATTAGTCCCTTAGTATGTTGCTTAGCATACTAGGACCTTAATTGGTCGCGGATGTTGGGAGGTACGCTAGGCGTACCATGGATTGCGCGGGGCGTACACGTTTAATTTTGGAATTGAGGCCTATATAAGCGACTTTAAGCCCTTGGGACTAAACCCTAGAGATCCTCCACTGCCCTTGAACGTCATTTCATTGCTGAAAGCCTTGAGAAATCATTTTTTAGCTTTTAAGGTGTGCATTTGTGATCTTTAGTGTTCATTTCAAGGAGAAGAGTTGGTCAAGCAAGCTTGGATGAAGAGGGTGCTTCAAGACCTTGTTTCATAATCATCTTACAGAGCTCTTAAAGGTAAAAAGCTTGCATCTTTCCTCTTTTCTCTTTAGATCTAGCTAGGGTTTTTGTAGTTGATCCCTTTGAT